AAGAGATGTTATGAGATAATCACAAAATATATTCTTGTCCCATTTAATTTGCACACTAATATATATATATATATATATATATATATATATATATATATATATATATATATATATATATATATTATATATATATATATATACACACACCACACACACACACTCGGTACAGTACTAGGAATTCCGAGAACTTAATCAATATTTAATGATGATTGTCTTACATTACGCCACCACTAGTGAAGGTATATACAACTACACACATACACATATGCTCACACACACACAGACACATACACTCACACACACACACACACACACACACACACACACACACACACACACACACAACACACACACACACATACACTCACACACACACACACACACACACACACACACACACACACACACACACACACACACACACACACACACACACACACAACACACACACACACCCACACACTTAAGGAAAAGGATCCTGGGGTGAGTATAATACCGAACACAATTCCTGAGGCGCACATCAACAAGATAACTGCTGCAGCATATGGGCGCCTGGCAAACCTGAGACTAGTGTTCCGATACCTCAGTAAGGAATCGTTCAAGACTCTGTACACCGTGTACGCCAGGCCCATACTGGAGTACGCAGCACCTGTTTGGGTCCCACACCTGGTCAAGCACGTCAAGATATTAGAGAAAGTGCAAAGGTTTGCAACAAGGCTAGTTCCAGAGCTAAGGGGAATGTCCTACGAAGAAAGGTTAAGGAAAATCGGTCTGGAGGAGAGGAGGGTTAGGGGAGACATGAAAACGACATACAAAACACTGTGAGGAATTAACAGGGTAGACAGAGGCAGGATGTTCCAGAGAGGGGACACAGAAACGAGGGGTCACAACTTAAAGTTCAAGACTCAAATGAGTCAAAGAAATGTTAAGAAGTATTTCTTTAGTTATAGAGTTGTCAGGAAGTGGAATAGTCGTGCAAGTGACGTAGTGGAGGCGGGAACCATACATTGTTTTACAACGAGGTATGACAAAGCTCATGGAGCAGGAGGAGAGAAGACCTAGTAGAGATCAGTGAAGAGGCGGGGCCCGGAGCTATAGCTCGACCCCTGCAACCACAAATAGGTGAGTACAAATAGGTGAGTACAAATAGGTGAGTACACACACACAAACACACACCACAGTTGCAAATAGCACATAATTATATCAATTATAGTATTTCAGTGTAATCATAGTGCTGACAGTGGTTATTCATGGTTATAATATGATTAATTCTTTGATATTTCCTCCATAACCTCGACTGCACATGAAGTCCAGGTGAAGAGCTCCTGATCCAAGGAACTGGACCTACCCTTCCCTTCCTTTGGATCACAGATGATTACCTTCTATTCCGTTGGAGCTGTATGACCCCCTGGGATAATGGGTCATGCACTCCCTGGGAGAAAGGGGGTAGGAAAATAAATCATGCACTTCCTGGAGCAAGATAAAAGGTCCTGCACCCCCTGGGCAGGATAAAAATGCCAGGTACTCCGAATAGAAGGTAAATCAAATCCTGGAGGGTAGGATAGACGATCAGGCACTCCCTGGAAGGCAGGATAGGTCAGACACTCCCTGGAGGACAGAATAGAAGACCAGGTACTCTCTGGAGGACAGGATAGAAGGTCAGGTGCTCCCTGGAGACCAGAATAGAAGGTCAAGGACTCCCTGGAGGGCAGGATAGGCCAGGTACTCCGTGGTGGACAGGATAGGTCAGGCATTCCAAAGAGGCCAGGATAGGTCAGTCACTCTCTGGAGGACAGGATAGGTCAGGCACTCCCTGGAGGCCAGGATAGAAGGTCAGGCACTCCCTGGATGTCAGGATAGAAGGCCAGGCATTCCCTGGAGGGTAGGATAAAGGGTCAGGCACTCCATGGAGGACAGGATAGAAGATCAAACACTCCCTGGAGGACAGGATAAATGGCAAGGCACTCCCTTGAGGGCAGGATAGATCAAGCACTCCCTGGGTGTTGTAATTGCAATAATATCATTGCTTCTCTGCATGACGGGTTTGCTATCATCACAGGATTCATGCACGACCCTGTACACTGTACGTCAGGCTCATACTGGAGTATGCAGCACCAATATGGAACTCGCATCTGGTTAAACATCAAAAAATTAGAGAAAGTTCAAAGATTTGCAACAAGACTAGTCCCGTAGCTAAGTGAGTATGTTTTACGAGGAGAGGTTAAGGGAAATCGTCCTGGCGACACTGGAGAACAGGAGGTATAGAGAGGACATGATAACGACGTATAAAATACTGAGAGGAACTGACATGGTGGACAGGGACAGAATGTTTCAGAAATAAGACACAGGAATAAGGGGTTACAAATGGACGAGTAATGTAGTGGAGTAGTGATGTAGTGGAGGCAGGATCCATATATAGCTTTAAGTAGAGGTTCGATAAAGTTCATGGAAAAGGGAGAGAGAGTGGACCTAGTAGCGATCAGCGAAGAGGCGGGGCCAGGAGTTATGACTCTACCCCTGAAATCACAACTAGGTGAGTACACACACACACACACACACAACACACACACTGCCATATTAACTTTGGCTAACATAACACACAACTGTCTGTAATAATGTTGGTAGAATTACAGACAATATGTAAAGTAAAAGGACACAAGTGCAACTAATGTGATACAACGTTTCGCTCTCCAGGAGCTTTGTCAAGCCTTTACAAACAGTACATGGGCACAGAGGGTATATAAAGGCTCAGAGTGAGGTGCAATACTAGTGGTAGTAGTAGCAGTAGTGACATAAGTTGTAGTAGTAATAATACAATAGGGTAGAGCAAAGCACCACGAACCAGTCAACGCAGGAGTTTACACTATACCCTGTGGAGGCTGCGACAAGATTTATGTAGGTGAAACAGCAAGAAACCTCGACACCCGCCTCAATGAACACAATTACGCATGTAGGAACGATAACTTGAACAACGCCTGTGTACAACACCGAAATTCCTCCAATCATCTCATGAAATTCAGGGACGCCCAATTTGTGATCAAAGAAACTAATTTCCGCAGACGCAAGTGCCTCGAGTCATCACTAATCGCTGTTTCGAATACAATTAAACAAAACAAAGGCAGCTTCACCATCTCTGAAGTCTTAGCAAGAATCCTCCTGAAAACAGTAAACCCTGCCATCACATAGTCTCTCCTGTTAATACTACACAAAGCACATTACAGAGAGTGAACACTGAAACAGGTCTAAATTTGCATTACCTATTTTTATGTTACCCAAGTAATAGCTTTTATATCCTTTTACTCATGTACGAGTTAATTGCTCTACCCTATTGTATTATTACTACTACAACTTATGTCACTACTACTACTACCACTAGTATTGCACCTCACTCTGAGCCTATATATACCCTCTGTGTCCATGTACTGTTTGTAAAGCTCCTGGAGAGCGAAACGTTGCCACAATAAAATGTCACATTAGTTGCACTTGTGTCCTTTTACTTTACACACACAACTGTCTACAAATATTCACCACAACATTATTCACAAACTCAAAATCAACACATTCTATTTTTTTTATTTTCAGTGATGTGTACAAGATTATTCTTACAGAATATTCTTTTTTCCGATTATTGTTTACCGATTACTGGTACCGATAACACAACAAAAAACAGAAGTGGAAGTGAATACGGGGAAACACATGACTAACGACTTCCTCCACCAGGAGTGTTCAATGCCACATCAGTAAACAATCTCAATCAATAGGATTTCGAATACTGTGTTAGGAAGCACCTCTGAAGTGCCTCTATATATAAGGTGTCCCGAAAACTCTCCATACATTACTAATATTTTTTTCAGATATCCTTTAAGAATGCTTTTGTTAAAAGAAGAACATAAGAACATAAGAGAGAAGGAACACTGCAGCAGGCCTACTGGCCCATGCGAGGCAGGTCCAGTTCTCCTCCCGGCTTAAGTCAATGCCTTAACCTTGTCAGGTCAGGTGACGTTCACTTAAGGAAGGAACACGGTATCTGACCTAGTAGCACAAGCTAATCAGGTCTAACTCACACCCACCCACACTCACTCATGTACTTATCTAAGCTATTTTTAAAACTACACAGCGTCTTAGCGTCCATGACGGTACTCGGGAGTTTGTTCCACTCATCCACAACTCTATTACCAAACCAGTGCTTTCCTATATCCTTCCTGAATCTGAATTTTTCCAGCTATTTACATCCCTTTATTCATTCCTGTTTTCCATTTATACACCTCAATCATATCCTCCCTAATTCATTCTCATGTCTGGCTGGGTGTATTTACAAAGAAATACACCCAGCCAGCCATAAAATTGCTGAATGTCCCTGTATGGAGACTTCTGGGACACCCTGTAGAGCAATACCTCGCTTTCTCACGGTGTTTTGTCCTATGAAGAGACGTCTTCAGGAAATCACCTAGAAACCCATAACTTGCTAAAGCTATTTGAATCTCCTCAGCTGAAGAGGACCTCACTCCTCCCGGTACATTGTTTAATTTTCTGTGTCAATGTTAGTTTGGACCACACTGACGTTGACTGTGTGTGTGTGTGTGTGAGAGAGAGAGAGAGAGAGAGAGAGAGAGAGAGAGAGAGAGAGAGAGAGGAGAGAGAGAGAGAGAGAGAGAGAGAGAGAGAGAGAGAGAGAGAGAGAGAGAGAGAGAGAGAGAGAGAGAGAGAGAGAGAGAGAGAGAGAGAGAGAAAGAGAAAGAGTGAAAGATGAAGGGAGAGATGAGGGAGAGAGAAAGAGACAGAGAAAGGAAGAATCTTTGATATTTTGGAATATTTTCAGTTTATTTTTATTTTTTCCATAATTTTTAATAATCTGAAATTGACCGTTTAAATTAAAATATTAAAAAAACAACATTAATTTAGATTAAAAGTGTTCTCAATTTTCTGGACGTTAATGAGCTTTTCAAGTGGTCGTCCTGCTTAGTGAAGCAGCCATTAACCTGTTTTTGTCACACCTGTAGGTATCGGCAACTCGCCGGAGGAGCTGGAGCTGCGTCGGGAGGCGTTCGGCGTTAACCAGATCCAACCTAAGGCCCCGGCCACCTTCCTGCAGCTGGTGCTGAGAGCCCTCAAGGACACCACCCTCATCGTGCTGCAGGTGGCCGCCATCCTCAGCATCGTCCTCTCCTTCTTTCACGCCGAGGACAGTGTTGCGCGTGAGTCGTCACCTGTTGGTGGGTCGTATAGTAGTCGCATTCAGGTGGGTCGTAGTCACCTGCTGGTGGGTCGTAGTCACCTGCTGGTGGATTGTAGTCACCTGCCTGGTGGGTCGTATAGTAGTCACCTGCCTGGTGGGTCGTATAGTAGTCACATACTGGTGGGTCGTATAGTAGTCACATGCCTGGTGCGTCGTATAGTAGTCACACACTGGTGGGTCGTACAGTAGTCACATACTGGTGGGTCGTATAGTAGTCACCTGCCTGGTGCGTCGTATAGTAGTCACATACTGGTGGGTCGTATAGTAGTCACATACTGGTGGGTCATATAGTAGTCACCTGCCTGGTGGGTCATATAGTAGTCACATGCTGGTGGGTCGTATAGTAGTCACATACTGGTGGGTCGTACAGTAGTCACCTGCCTGGTGGGTCGTATAGTAGTCATCTGCCTGGTGGGTCGTCACCTGCTTGATAGGTCGTCACCTGCCTGGTGAGGGTTGTCACCTGCTGGTAGGTCGTATAGGAAGCCACCTGCTGGTAGGTAGTATAAGAAGTCACCTGTCTATTAGGTCATATATGTAGTCACCTGCCTGGTAGGTCATCACCTGTTGGTAGGTCGTCACCTGCTGGTGGATAGTATAGGTAATCACTTGCCTGGTGGGTCATTACCTTCTGGTAGGTGGTCAAATGCTAGCTATGACTACAAACATGTTTATAACCCGTAGATTAACTAATGTGACTTATTAGATACCTTTCCTATGTAGGTTACGTATTGTATTTTTGCGTTTTGGGAAGTATCAGGAAATTAGTCCAGCTGACATATTAACGTTAGAAAATCTCCTTCACATCATTACAAAAATTCGTAGTCAAGCGTAACTTAAATATTGTCTGTCAGGTTTTTTATAGTTATTTAAATAACAGAATGCTAAAGTAACATCTAACCATCACTTACACGTCTTTAATATAGAATCCAGAAAGAAACAGGAAAGATAGCATAAGAAATAATCAGCACACAGCTTCAGGAGTAGCTATGATTAGGTTTAGGAGGTCAGGAACAAGTACTAACAGTCAGAGTAGTCTAGGAGGTGGAGCCAAGAGCTGAGATTCAACCTCAGAAAATATTTAATAATAAGCAAGACACTGATTGTAGAGGAATTCTTACAGCCACAACGTTTCGCCACACACTGGCTTTATCAATAAATTTTGTTGCAAAACAATGTACCATAAAGACTCCTCAGCAGTCACCGTCTCACACTGTCGATGCTTCATCGTTTTTTCACGAACAAATAATGGTCGTAGAATACTCAGATAACTCACACATAGGAGGGAGGAGTTAACGACGACGTTTCGGTCCCACTTGGACCATTTACAAAGGTATTTTAACCTTTTTGTCCTTTAATGATCGCAAAACTTCAGCAGCATGTGTTAAAAAGAAAAACTGCTGTAAGAACCGCATCGAGAATCTTAACAAAGAGTCATTTGTGTATTTCCTCACGACATACTCCATGTTCATGCTGAAGTATGTTGTGGCAACATCAATCTCTCACCAGATAAAACACCTCAAGAAACTATAGAATTCAAAAAATATTTGCGACACATTACCCGTCAAGTGTTGCACATCACACGCTCTTCAACAAATCCCAAAGTAATTGAGCCACTTAATATTTCTTACCCATCTCTTCCTTTATAGCCATTTCCCTTTTTTCCTATATTCTGTCTTAACCTTTTTCCTCTTCATCTCTGCCAGTGCTATGACGTACAGAATAAATCATTCTCGACGAAGAGGTGACGAATACAAACATCATACACAGTTTCATGAGTAGATATAGCATTGCTCTTGAAACCAGGAATCAGTAAAGCATGGCATTAGTAATTAAGAGATGGGGTCAAGAGCTGGGATTACTCCTCAACAGACACAAAGAATTGAGTACACAGAGTGATACAGGATTCTGTATATTCTACAGCCACTAGCATATAATACTCAAGCTAAACACAGAAGACGAGTCATAAGGATCACATCTCTACACCTGTAACTACAGACAAATAATTATGCCTTGTGCAAAATTTTAATGTTTTTTTTTTTTAAACAGCAGTTAACCCGTACCTTTCCCCATTGTTCCTCAACAGACAGCGCTCCCGACGATCCTTCTAAGGCGGCTGTTGGTAAGTGTCTCGCAGGATTCTGCCTCATTAGTTTAACTCAGCTTTCTCACTGCTCCTACCTGCTCCTTTCCCGTTACTAATTATTGCCTGCTATTACGTAGCTTTCATACTGCCATGAGAGTAGGGAGAATGTAGATGTATCTGTGTCAAGACTATAGATGCACCGCATGCTAGTGGCTTTCGTTTAATATGTTTTACATTTAAATTACTTTTGTATACTGCAGAAAGAAATGAAGCTTGTATATTTAGGGTGTATTTGTAAAATGACTGTGGATATTTTCGTGTGTGTAAGGTAAGTATAGGGTGATGGTGTGGGGAGTGAGAGTGTTGCTAATGTTGTGTTGGTCGGCAGATGAAAAGGAGGAGCAAGCACCGCCCTGGATTGAGGGAGTAGCTATCCTGGTAGCCGTGGTGGTCGTCGTGCTGGTTACTGCCTTCAACGACTACAGGTACGACCAATGTTTTCACCACATTTTTTTTCCAATTCTACTTTACTGCATTAATTATTTCACTGTGAAGTCACAGTTTGGCATCGTTTGGGTTATCCTAGGTTCACTAAATGTAATTTATTACCATTTCATAACTAAGGTGTTCAAATGCCTCCCAGATTACTGAATAACTCCATAATGCAGTCTATAAAATCAACTGTATCTTCATTAATCCATTCCCATTGACCTGATACTAAGATTTTACACATGTTTCTCATTCATTGATTTGTCGGTATTAAATAAATCGGATCTAATCAGAAACAAGCCAAGGTGGGCAGCGGCAGCAGAGGTGGATATGAAACTTGTCTACGTTTCGCCCGCCCGTTGTTCCAAAGAACGCATTCTTTATTGTTAAATTAATTAGGGAAATTAGTTCCACCTGACCCACTTGCAGGCAGTAAGGTTTAAATTGAAACAACTAACACCTGCTGCCGTTGTTACCTGGCAGTAAATAGATACCGGGAGTTGCTGTGGGACGCATCCTGGTAGAAATGGTAATGCAGTGGTAGATTACACCTCCAGTATGCAAATGTAACACCCAACGTGAGCTATGGAATTTTATTGTGAAAACGTCTCGTCCACCAGGAACTCCATCAAATCACCCTGAATAGATAAAATCCCTGGCGGATGAAACGTTTTAATAATAAAATACCATAGCCCACACTGCCATATTAGCATAATAGAGGACTTAATTATAAATAAAAGTACCCCAGTAAAAATAAGCCACACTTTTTGGCTTTCCTGGGCTTCCTTGTGACTTAGGTAATTAATCTCCTGGGCTTAGGAATCCTAAGACAGTCTTCTTCCACGGACAGCAAAGAGCGTCAGTTCCGTGGTTTACAGAGCAAGATAGAGCACGACCACTTCTTCTCCGTCATGCGCGCAAGGAACATCCTTCAGGTGCCTATCAGCGAGATCCTAGTCGGTGACATCTGCCAGGTAAGACCACGTTACACAAAGAACCCGCACCTAGGAGACTGAAACCCGCAACTAGGAGACTGAAACCCGCAACAAGGAGACTGACACCCACACCTAAGAGACTGAAACTTTCGACGACGTTTAGGTCCTACTTTGACCATAACTGGTAGCGATATTGTGCCTTTTTTACGATGCCTGGTCACGGACAGGGCCGCTGGGGGCGTTGACCCCCGAAACCTTCTCCAGGTATACCACATTAGTATTAGAACATAAAATGAGCACTGCAGTAGGCCTATGGTCCCATGCTAAGAAGGCCTTTTCCAAATTCCAAAGAAAAAACAAAATTCCAGGAAAAAAGTCACGGTGTAGATGAGGTAAAATATATGAATAAAAAATCTTTTGCGATAGATTAGATTAGGTTAAAGTAGATTAGCGTAGATTACCTTTGATAGACTAACCCCTCAACGGAGGTTCCTTGACGCTGGTGGGGGCTCTTGATCTAGGGAATTGGATCTGTGATCCAGTTCCCTGAATTGAGCGTGAGTACCTTCCATCCCCTCCACGTGCACTGTGTAATCCTACGGGTTTAACGCTCCCCCATGATTATAATAATTTGATAGGTTAAGTTAGGATTGGCTAGATAAGGTTAACTTCTCAGACGCTATGTCCAGTTACAGGCAAGTCTTCACAATGAATATGTCAGGTACTTTTTATGTAACAAAGTTACGTAAAAGCTTTTTGTTCATATATCTACGTTCTGTTACTTATTTTCCTGTAACTTCATTTTCTTAGCCAAAATTTTTACTTGTTTTTTAAATTGACTTCCCCCCCCCCCTGTGACTTTTTCCTAGTATCGCCGTGGATATCTAACTGAGAAAACACTACAAACAATGGATTTAGATTTAGAAAGAATATGGGAAAGCACTGGTGTCGATTAGTGGAACAATCTGCTAAGTATAGTGATCGAATCTAGCACTTTAGGTAACTTTTAGAAAGTAAGTTGTGTAGGATTTAGTGAGAAAGTTTGGTTCTGGATAAAGATCTACCTATTAGGAGCCAGTAGGTAGTCAGGATTGATAAACACACCATTGGCAAAACGTCTCCTTCAATAAATGTCTTCATTTTGCATTTTTTTTTATTTCCAAGGGCCAGTAGGCCTACTGCAGTGTTTCCATAGTCTTATGTTCTAGTATTTTGCTATCTTATCACTTCCATCTCATGTACTTGTCTTTTGATTCTGCTTTTTCTACCTCAGTTTCGACTTGATGGTCCAGAGGGAAACGTCGTCTAAAGTTTCATCTCTAAGTGTGGGTTATTTACGAGTTGTTTCAGCTACTATACTCTAGGTTTTATTCTCCTTCAGTATTTCTACTCCCGAGTGCTCCAATAATTATGTCAAGCGCAACAAAGTTCCCACTCTGACAACACAGGACTTTCGCCATGTTCTCTTTGTTGATGTAATACAGCTGTGTTATTTTTTTTTATCTGAATCTAGCTTC